AACACGTTTCCACCAAATGCAACGAGCAAGGTTGCGCAAAAACACAGGTTATTATCCGAGAAACGCTAGCCGCAACAAGCTGGTACAGGCAGGAACCCGGCAAGCACGAGCCACACACGGACGTCAACGTCTTCTTTCACGCTGGCACAGAGCTGGCGCCACTATGCTTCGGTACAATATATATATGCAAGCAAAATTGAAAATTTTAGGAGGGAGGGGAGTCGATTTATCCCTTGGCTACACCACTGATCAGCAGTTTTGTGTCAGACAATAACCCATTAGCTGAACTATTGTTTGTGTTGATTTCATGATATTGTTTGGATTGCTCCACACTTATCCTCACAAAATGAATATAAAAGGTGGGAAACCATCTTCTCTGGTTTTCTTGATTTTCTTGTTAAGACTGTTTTTATTGTCTTTCAATTTCATCGAGGTCAGCAAAATGAAAAATATTAACAAGACTAGCATATAGCTTTTTGCGCGTCATGACATTCTTTATTAATTTTCTTGATATCACTGGCTTTCGACAAAACTTGTAAACATTTTATGTGCAAAATATTTCTTTTCTCGGACTTACTATTTTTAGTAAAGGTATTACAAGCTGTTTTTTTTTAAATCCGTCTTCTCAACTTAGTTGATGTACAGCTGCGATTGAGAAGCTGCCAATATAGGTTGCTCTATCTGAAATGTTGGTGAAAATGGCATATACTTCCCCAAAATTTTGCATAATGGACTACTGCTTACGTACAGAACTTATGCTTGTTTTCGTTTTGTGTTATTTCACCTCAAGTAATACTGCCATTCAACCTAGTTGGAAAATATTCATCTCAACGATACTTGTGCAAGTACAAAAAGACAAAGTTTACAGCAACACAAACCAGGGCGAGCACTCGTCCTAATGATGCTGCACTTTGCCTCCGTGTCCTTGCACGAGTAACATTGAGATGATTTTTACTTCAGTGGTTTTACATATTCCATCAGAAACTGCGCCTAAATGAGAGCGGGTGCAAGCAGAAAAAAAAAAGATGTAAGATATCACAAAGAACCACATGACTCTGTACATTTAAACGCAGAGTAACAGAATGTGTGTTTTTTGGCATAAAGCCGGCCTATCCTTGCCTAGTATACTGTTTGCGAAAGAGCTATGGAGATCTCCACCATTACATATGCTGCCAACCTCTTCCACACACACAATAAACAAACATTGCACAATATAAGGCGAGAGATAATATAAATTCAGATAACTTAAAACATTGGCTTTCCCTAAAGATTGTTTGTACGGCTATCGTCCATTTGGCCATTATCTTAAGTATTATGCTCTAGGATATCTACTTTAGTTTTGAAATACTTCGTTCAATTTTTCTCTGCAATCATACACATTTTGAATGAGCGATAATACGTTGCCGCCGTTGCAGATAAGGGCAACACTTGTTTCACGTCTGCATTTTTACGCAAAGTACGAACGCGCACGTGTTGTTTTGCAGGCGCCGACTTCCCGGGAGCGCGAACATGTTTGCCCGTATCTCGGAATGTACCACACACAAGCACTTTTCGAGTAACGAGACAATGTATAGGTACGTCCATGCGCCTACACCAAAGGAATGGGTATGAAAGCACGTACGGCTTTGATGTGAACACACTTGACACGTAGAGAGACTTTATTCACGCTAGTACAGTGGAACGATAAAGTTCAGACAGAGTGCTAATATAGCCACCCTTGGTTAATATCCTGCAAGGTATCTGCTTCGAGTAGACTGGCTGCCGCACGTGCATGGTCAGTGGACTCTGCAACCACTTGAAAGCTAATCTGGCGAGATATGCGCTGATAGTGGCACGACAAAAGGGTGAAACTTCATTTTCCAGCATAGTCGACGCTCTGTGGATGAGTTATATACGATACTCATTGTATAGCTCCTGAGATTGTGCAGTCTTTCTCGTGTTTTGTTTTTTTTCTCGAAACCATATGCGTGTAAGGGTCTGATGGACGAGACTGTAGGGCGCATACTTTTTAGTAATGGCATGAGGTTACCGACATTTCAGAGACAAACGTCTGTTGCCGCGTCAGCGAAAAATTGCAGCAAAGAATACGTCCCAAAGAGCAGTTCAGTTAGTCCTGCAGATGAAAAAGGAAAAAAAAAGAGCAGAAGGGCGTAGTCAAGTTGAGGGATTCCTATTTCGAGATAGCGTAAATGGTTCTAACTGCCACTTACTTTTCGTTAGAGTATACGTCAAATGAATTTAATTTTTATATAGTGAGCTTTGACAAAACATTCTGAAATATTTCGTTATTGCTGTCATAGTTTTGTGTCAAGAGCAGACACCCTGTTTCTTTCATATGATTCGCGGATTGCAAACGGCACTGTCTACTAATTTCATTAAGAATGTGAGAGCATCCGCAAAAAAGTGTCTATTTGGTGCTCATACATAACTCGCACTTTTGCAACCTTGTAAATCACTCTCCCCTTCGCCAGTGCACAAAAGTTGACTGAGCTCCGCCTATAGTTGAACTCTCTACTATTGGCTCATTAATTATTAAGGCGACAGCTTTATATGATTCATTAAACGCGAATGTGGACCGTCGGCGACGCCCACACTAGTGACGCAAAGATCATGATCACAGCGTCGCATACCGCCAAAATTTTTGACGTAATCATGACGTCACATAAAGTGGAGCCACATGGTGACGTCATCACACGACAGCATTGCTTGGTCAGGAAGGCAATGGCCAACCAGGTGAAGCGCAAAAAACCTTAGGAAGTCAGGGGGGGGGGGGGGCGCTACTGCATTACCTGGGGAAAAAAAAGAAGCAGGTGATTTTCGCCTTCGAGTCCTCATAGGCGGATGCATAAAGGATCCTGTGAGGCTTTTTCTTTTAGTTGTTTTGCAGCATTGTAGCGTGTTACATGGTGACGGTGCTTGTATTCAATTCGCAAAGTTAATGGTGCTCCCGTGGTAGATCAGGAACGTGCTTGAAGTCGATGGTGTGACGATCAATTGATGAAAAAACAAACAAAAACAAAATGAATGAACGCTGGCCAAAATGAAAAGGTCTAAAACACCAAAAATGACGTTTCGGCTTCCGTGCGGAAGCCGAAACCTCGTTTTTTTTGTATGGTTTTACGGAAGCCGTAACGTTGTTTTTCTGGCCTTCTAAAGTTTTCATTTTGATTGACGTTCGTTCGTTTCGTTTTTTTATCATCCCGTGCATATTTACGCAGTGCTAACGCTTTAGCATTAGATATATGTACGTCACGTGCACGTAGTGTGTGCACTAGGCACTTATCCATCATTTTGTTTTTCTTCCTGTGATCTCGTGTTGACTTTCAATATGTCTGCTTTGAAATAAACGTCTGTTATTCTCACGTCCTTGGAAAATTCTGCAGCTCCATGAAAATCATGCTATCTCCCTCTCCGGCTAAAAAATAAGTGAAATTGCAGCCACTATATGTACACTATGCTTGGTCCACACTAGTCAGCTAATCAGTTTTAGCAGGAAGGTATCTTAAGAATAACCAATATACAAACGCGGCAGTTCAGGTTGATTGGACTGAAGATATTTGTGCTCTTGCAGAAAACTGTTTGCATGCTAATTCTGGCACGTATTTACACGTCACACATCATGCGCGTAGCCAGGGGAGGAGGGGGGGGGGTTCAAGATTCGAGCTTTCCTTCCTTCTACATTTTTAAATTTTGCTTTCATATATATTTACGCAGACATACAAACGCGCGCATGAACATAAAGTATGGTTCACCCCCCCCCCCCCCCCCCCGTGATATATATTCTGGTTACGCTCCTGTCAAACGCACACAAAAAACACATGCTACACCTGTCGTTATATCAGTCAATCATGACGTTCAGCTGACCATTTGCAAACAGCTATTGCGAAAATACATTGTTGTTTTACATGTAGGTTATAATGTTTTACATGCAGTGTATAATGAACTATAGTTATTTTTTAGCATAAAAATGCGAAAAGGTAGTATTGCGCAGAGGCTCTGAGGCGGTTCTGTAGTATACACCCACAGATGAAACGAATTTGCAGGAGAATGGAGGTTTCAATTGATCACAGCGACAGCAATCGACAAATAAATTTTTTGAAGCCACTGTTTTTTTTGTTGCAACACAATCATTGTCAGTACATACACTAACGAAGGCAAGTTTCATTGTTGCACACGTTGGCTTCAGCGATATTCTACCGCTGTCAGTCGAGAAGACAGCTGTGATGTAAAAGGTACGTTCGTCGTTTGTATGTGGAGGCCGTGTTGAGCAATAATCTAAATACACAAGTACTTTCAAAGAGCCGGTTGTCCGGCACTTTAATCTAACCATTAATTATTTGAACGGCTTATCACTTCTTAGCCGCTTTTCTCTGCCTCCTGCGTTTTCATAAATAAATATTCGTTTAAAAAAGGTCTATATCGCTGTGTGTATGTGCTGCGCTGTTTGACTGGGAATGTAATATCTCCAGAAAAAACAGGTGTTATAATGCTTCTGTCTCTGCACATTTATTTGGGCATCACAGGGTCCACATTGGTCTGAAGAATGTCGCGGAAAGCAACATTTTGACGAAAAACAAACGTGCATTATAGCTCCAAATAAGAGTCCCTCAGATCTGTTCTATGATATAATGAGAGCTTTTATAAATAGAACCTGATGTCTGTCCATTTAGCATGGATGATAAAAACGGGCATACATGAAATGAATGCGCAATAAATAGTTCAATGAGAAGTTGAAAATGAAACATCCCCTGGCACTCTCATGCATGCAGTAAAAAGCAACATAACTGTGAGTGATGGGAGAAGAGAGAATCGACAGGCATCCTCGAGGAACCTCCCTTGACTAGATACAAAAACGCACAACGCATAATGAGCATAATGACGAGTTTGGTCCCATTCACAGTCATAAGGGTTCGGATTCTACACATTCACGCAAGAGGCAAGAGAGAGATCTTGGGCTAAAGGACTGAGACCATGGTAGCCGCATGACCTCAGTGCGTCGCCGAAGAGACTGTAGTCATTGGGTACTCGTTTGCGATGACCCTAGTGCGGGCGTCTTTCTTAGGCAACGAGTAGAGCAGCTTGTCCCAGAAGTGCGGTTCACCCCAACGCAGATAGTTGGTTTCTTGCATGTACCGCTGCAGTTCTTCGTCAATGCCTTCTGGGCAGACCTCGCCAACAGCTACGATGATGAGGCGGTTGATGTTGTCCTGCAGGGCACGGTGCTGAGCCAAACGAAACTCCCAGCGGCACCATTCGCTCTCCACATAATGCCTTGGGAGAAGTAAAGAAAACAAAAAGAAAGAAATTTGGGAGGTTAATGGGGCCCTGCAACACTTTTTGAATTAGACATGGAATGAATTCACCAAAGGAGCTTATTGCCTCACGCATTCGCCACCACAAAGACTTTTATAATCCGTCGAGATACGAGTGGAGTTGCGTAGATTAGTCGCACGCTGCAATTACATTATCTCTCCGCTCGAGCCGACGAAAGCACTAAAAGCTAAGCAGAGAGGGACGGAACGGAGAAGTCAAATACGCCACACGCGCCTCGTGACCTTGAGCACTCTCTCTCTCTCTCTCTCTCTTTCCCCGAATGCGCGGCTTCTCAGTGCGATCACGCGCGCACGCGTGAACAAGTCGTGGCCTCCCACGGTGGCTCCAGTAACGACCTAGCCTGCCATGCTCAAGTCAGCTAATTGCTGTACAATGGCTGTGACGAGGGATTTATGAGCCTGTATTGTCATTTGTCGATAGAAGAGAAAGCAATTATTAGCCAATTTTGCGAATTTACTGTAAATTACAGGCATCGTGCTCCGCTATAATATTTGGCTCACGTGTACTCTGGAGCCCCGACTACAGATCGGCCGCGTTTTCTGGCCATGCTCAAAAAAGTGGTGCAGGTATTCAGGACTATTCCTTCTATATATGTACAGTATGACCAAAATCCTCTTATGCTTCAACAGCGCTTAGGAGTTGGTTGGTTTATGGTAGCGAACATTCGAAAATGACCCAGGCTATCGTGACACCACAGTGGAGGGCTCCGGGCAATTTCTGCCACCTGAGGTTCTTTCACCGTGCACTGACATCACGGGCCTCTAGCATTTCAGCTCCACCAAAACGCGTCAGCCGCAACAGGCAATAACCCGCGTCTTTCAGATCAGCAGCCAAGCAGTGGAAGTATTGAGCCACTGTGGCGGCCAACAGTGCTTTGAAGAAGGGTTTGCCGGATGACCAGATGGTACATTTAACTTGGAAGGAAAAAATCAGTGCGAAAATTGAGCACAAAAAAAGAGCCACACAACACGAGCGCTTATGTCGTGTGATTCTCTTCTTGTGCCCAGTCTTCAAGGTGCGATAGAGGCGGAAATGTCGAGGCCCGTGTGCTCAGATTTGGGTGCGCGTTAAAGAACCCCAGGTGGTCAAAATTTCCGGAGCCCTCCACTACGGCGTCTCTCATAATCATATGGTGGTTTTGGGACGTTAAACTCCACAAATCAATCAAATCAATCAGTCTTCAAGGTGTTTTTTTTTACTTTGAAATGTTTTGAAGCTGACAGAGTTAACACTACGTGAACTTAGCATTTTTCCGTGCAATTTGCACCTAAATATATTCACGAGGCTGTATTCACAGATGGTGAACGTTTTTTAAGTTGGCATGAAATTAGTGAGCAGCACTTAATTTCGTTTCATATCACGTTCATCTACCATCAACAGCAAGAGTTTACGGAACGCAAAACGTTAGATAAACCTGAATCCTCTCTTTGTCTAGGAACGCGATTTCGAAATAAATGTTTCATACTGCACTTGGCATTCCGACTATGAAGTTACCAGCTTTATTGCAAGCATTAAACACTAATACTGAAGAAATTTGCGATTGTTGTGGATCCAACGTCCTACAAACTCTTGTTGTTGATAGTACAGTAATGCGATAATGAAGCTCTTAATGGCAGAGTGTGTTATTCAGAAGCATTCTAGCATATATATGAGTAAGATCACTTTGTAGGAGGCGATTCGAGCGAGGACACGATCCTCTACCATACACTGATGTTTAATTCCAATGGCAGATCACGAGCGCTGCGCCGGATTGCGAATGAAGCACGCATATTTGAGCGGTATTGCTCTCGCCGAATCTGCTATTGGAACGTGCGCGTCTCGGCGCGAGCTCTTGGTGAGCGGAAATCTAGCGAAGGAGCACGAGAGGCTGCGAGAGAGTGCAAAGCTTTTTCGGACATTCATCGGTGATTGGATGAAAGGCGGGTGCACAGAATATGCCACTTGAACTTCCAGTCAAAATCCGCCAATTTTCGCAGAGCAAGAATTCTTGCTCCACGGAGCAATCCGTGATCTGCAGTTGCTCTCAATCTGCCATTGAAACACTCTATTAACGCTTCCAATCTGCCAGATCAGAAAAACTTGATCTGGATCTGCCATTAGAATTTAGCATTACTTCATATATGAAATATACGCAGGCTGTCGCTAAAAAGTATAACCACTTCGCACATGGAGCTAAATTAAGTAAATTGAATCGTGAGGTTTAAGCTTCAAAGTCCCGGAAAAGCGCAGTGAATGATGCGGGAGTCGTTGTAAGAGGGTTATCATTAATTCTGACCACAGGCGTTTATAACTATGCACCGAAGTAGTCGAGCATTTTTAAGTTCATCTCTAAGAAAAGCAGAATCGGCATTGTACTGAACCTGTGACTTGGTCTGCACTATAGGAGGCGAGTACAGTCACTATAGAAGAGCATTCGCCGATGCCAGCCACAGCAAACAATGTCTGCTAATAACTCAATAGTGAGCAATCATTCTGAGCAACCGAAGGAAACATGTATAGACCTTCCAGATGGAACCTTCGTATAAAGTATCTCAGGGGAAATTCATGAAGGACTCACTGTGTCAAAACCAACAGTGTTCGCCTTGAGCACGATACGGCCTCCTGGACTATATCTTGGATCAGGAAGCCACCCTTGAAGTTACGGTCGTACGTACAGACATAGAAGCCGTGCGCCTCGATCTTAGGCAGAAGCTCGTTGTATGCCCACTCCCGATCTTTGCTGCTGAACGAGAGGAACACGTCGAAGTCCTTGTCCTCGTCAATGTCGTCCTCTTTGATGCAATTGAGTGAGTGGCCGATTCCGCGCGCGTACAGCCACACCCGTATCTCCTGCTTGTACTTCAGATACAACGTTACGGAGGCCATGGCAGTAACCAACAATACTGCAGAAAAAAGACACCGGTAAAGACAGCCTTCACACACACACCACACACACACACACACACACACACACACACACACACACACACACACACACACACACACACACACACACACACACACACATATATATATATATATATATATATATATATATATATATATATATATATATATATATATATATATATATATATATATATATATATATATATAGCCTAGCCACTCACACACGTAGTGGGTCGGCAGCAAGAACGGCTCTAAATCTGGAGGAAAAAAGAAGATAGATCGCGTGCTTCTTCTCTGCTCGAGAGCCAGCCACGACTGACGCATCGTCCTAGAGCTAGCTGCTCGGTGGTATAATAAACCCCTCAGTACTTGTGAGATGCGTCCAGCGGCTCGACAAGGTAGTTGACAGGGGATGTTTGACGTACAACTCGATAAAGACCATGGCACCTGGACGAAAGCTTGTGGGAGAGTCCCGGAGGATTAGAAGGAATCCATAGCCACACCAGTGAGTTAGGAGCAAAACTCAGTGGCGTGGTTGACGCGTCGGGGCGATGTTTTTGGCGCGTCTGGTTGTTTGACGTGAACGCACGAGCAAGCTTCCGACATTCTTCAGCGTGTGCTGCTGCTCGAGAAACGGTTGTCAACTCTGAAAGGTCCGGTCGATAAGGAAGAATGATATCCATTGTTGATGATGGCTCGCGTCTATAAAGAAGGAAGAAAGGCGAAAATCTAGTGGTGCTTTGCGTTGCAGTGTTGTAGGCATATGTCACAAAAGGCAGTATGCTATCCCAATTTGACTGGTCGGATGAAGCGTACATGGCCAGCATATCTCCAAGCGTACGATTAAAACGCTCTATCATCCCATTAGTTTGCGGGTGATAGGCTGTGGTAGTGCGGTGTATGATGCGACACTCGCTCAACAACGCTTTGATGGAATCGGAGAAAGAACGTGACCGCGGTCGCTTAAGAACTTCCGAGGTGCCCCATGCCTTAAAACCAGGTTTCGCAGTATAAAACATGCAACGTCTTTTGCGGTAGCAGATGGTAACGCAGCTGTTTCAGCGTGCCGCGTTAGGTGGTCGATAGCTACAAAGACACAGCGGTTGCTACTCGAAGTATAGGGAAGTGGACCGTAAAGGTCAATTACCACACGATCGAAAGCTCGTGTTGGACAATGACAACGGCTGCAAGGGATCTGTGGCATGTTGAGCGGGCATTTTGCGTCGCTGGCACGTAAGGCAACACCTTACGTAATGGCGAACAAAACGGTACATAGCACGCCAGTAGTACCACAGCTGCAAGCGAGTGTGTGTTATTAACACACCGGCGTGGCCACATTGCGGATCATCGTGGAAGGTGGCGCAGATGTCAAAGCGGAGATGTCAGAAAATGACGAGCAACCACTTACGGCCGATCGAGCTGTAGTTGCAACGGTAAAGCAGGTTATCTCGAACAGCGAGGTGTTGCGCTTGACGGCGAAGTGTCCTGGAGCGGGCGTCCGGTTTGAGAGAAAGTCCAAAAAGGAAGAAATCCAAGCGTCTTTGCGTTACTCGGAAGGCATGTCCGAAATGCTGATGGCCAAGATAGCATTGGTGGAGATAGGCGAGCTGACAGGCTCTGAAGCCAACGGCGAACGTGACAGGGCATCGGCATCGGAATGCTTCCGACCAGAACGGTAGATAACACGGATATCGAATTCCTGTACCGCAATGCCCAACGAGTGAGTCGACCATTAGGATCTTTTAGGGAAGATAACCAGCTAAGCGCATGATGGTCTGTCACAATATCAAACGGACGTCCAAATAAATAAGGCCGAAATTTTCCGATCACCAAAATAATGGCGAGGCACTCCTTTTCAGTGACACTGTAATTCTCGGCTTAACTGAGGGTGCGGCTGGCATATAGGCAACGACGTACTCGTCAAAGCCATACTTGCGTTGGGCCAGTATGGCCCCTAGCCCGACACCACTATCGTCCGTATGAAGCTCCGTTGGAGCAGACGGGTCGGAATATCGGAGTATGGGAGGTGTAGTGAGGAGCCATTGGAGTTCCTGAAATGCATCATCACACGCCTAAGACCACGCTGACGAATCAGAACTTCCGGCAAGAAGATTGGTCAAGGGGAAATAATGGAGGCGGAATTGCGGACGTCGCGCCGGACGTATGAACATAGGCTGATGAAGCTTCGGTGCTCTTTGATGATGGTATGTTTTGAAAAAGCCGTGACTGCATTAAGTTTTGTAGGGTCCGGGAGAATGCCGTCCTTAGAAACCACATGGCCGAGGATTACAAGCTTGCGAGCGCCAAAGTGGCATTTCTTCAAGTCAAGTTGAAGTCCAGCCGTGGAAAGGCATGTAAGAACTTGCTCGAGGTGACTGAGGTCGGTCGCAAAGTTGCTTGAAAATACCACAATGTCGTCCAAATAACAGAGGCACGTTTCTCATTTCAGGCCTCGCAGTATGATATCCATCATCCTTTCGAAAGTGGCAGGCGCATTGCAGAGGTCAAAAGGCAGAATGGTGAATTCATATAGTCCATCCAGTGTTACATAGGCTGTCTTCGGGCGGTCACCCTCTGCCATGGGCACCTGCCAGTAGTCGGAGCGTAAATCTAACGAAGAAAAGAACTCTGCTCTTTGTGGGCAGTCCAAAGCATCATCGATTCGAGGAAGAGGGTATATGTCTTTGCGGGTTATCTTGTTGAGTCGGCGGTAGTCAACGCAGAACCGGATGGATCCGTCTTTTTTTCTTGACGAGAACAACCAGTGAAGCCCAGGGACTGTTGGAGGGCTCGATGATGCCACGTTTCAACATGTCGTCCACTTGTTCGTCGATGACATGGCGTTCAGCAGATGACACACGGTACGGACGCTGTCTTAGCGGGGCTTGTTGACCGGTGTCAATACGGTGAACGACCGCAGAGGCTCGGCCTAAACCTGACTGGTCACGATCGAATGAAGAGCGAAAACGAAGTAAAATATTTATTATCTCTTGGCGTGGAGTTGGTGCGAACTCAGAGTCGATGGCATCCGAGAAGACGTCCAGAACATCATTAGGCGCGTTGGTAGTAGTGACAGCACTAATTGGGAGCGAAACCGTAGAATCGGGTATAGTAGCTGAATTAATGCACTCGCAAAGTTCGTAGTTTCCCAGGCATTCTCCACGTAGTAGAGATGACGGGCTGTTCGAGGGATTGCGCACATGAATGGCAGCGTGACCATTGCGAAAAACGACGACGGCAAACGGAAGCATAAAATTTCGACGGCACGCAGATGGGACCGATGGCATAAACAACACAGGTGGTTTCGAAGGAGAGGCACACGACACCGGGACAACAACAGCTGAGAAAGGCACTATGTCAACGTCAGAAGCAGCAAACACTCTACACGAAGCGCCATCGCCGGAGTTATAGAACGGCACAGATAACGTGAGTTCGGCACGAGCACAGTCGACCAAAGCAGAATTTGACGAAAGAAAGTCCCACCCAAGGATGGCGTCATGCGAAACGGAATAAAACTACAGATGCGACGATGTAAATCACACCTTGAATGACGACTCGTTCAGTGCACAAAGCTGAAAACTGAACATGGTGAGACGTAGCTGTCTGCAAAGATAGGGTGGCAAGTTGAGTGTCACTTTCTTCAAGTTTCGGCACAGTTTCTCGCTAATTAGAGATACGGCAGCTCCAGTGTCAACAAGTCCGTGCACCTTAATGCCATCAATATAGACTTTGATTTCGTTCGGGAGACAGCAGTTAGGTCTTGAAATTTTCGCTGCCCACGCAGTTCTTGCCTCCGGAACAGCGCCCGCCAGTTTTCCCCTCGCGGTGGGCTGTTGCGATGTAACATTGGAGAAATAGACCGACGACGAGGAGAAGGCGAACGGGTTGAGCCGGATGGTCGGCAACCGGGACGTATATCTAGAGGTGGATCGGCAGGAAAGGGATATCGCGGCTGAGCGGGCATGGTGGGCATGTAGTGTGAGGCCCCTGCAATGTCATGAGAAGGGAAGCTGCGACTGCGGCAGTGACGAGCTATGTGGCCTGGGATGCCACATGAAAAACATACTGGCCGATTATCCGGAGTGCACCATTGGCTGATGGTAGGGGCACTGTTCGTTGCATAAGGTACCATAAACGGCCGTGCAGGCGGCGTCATATAAACGTTCCGAACTGTTTCGTATACAGCCGGAGACGGGACAGCCAACGGGCGGGCCGGTGGCGCTGACAAATAAACGTGGCGAGTTGCTTCGTAGATAACTGAAGACGATGGTGCACGTGGCCGAGCAACAGCGGCTGCATACATTAGTGGTGCGGTAACAGATGGTAGAGCCTGAGCTGGCGGCAATGCTTCGGCAACTTGCGGTTGAATGACCTGGCGAAGCTAAGGCGACAAGGGTGCCATTGGTTCGGTAGTTCTTGTGATTATAGATAGCTGCCGGGCGACCTCCTCGCGTATGAATTGCTTTATGAGTGGCATCAACCCAGTGCGTTCGGCGGTGTCATGGTTATAGTCGAGGGATGAGAGGTCCGCGATGTCTTGAGCAGCGCAACGTGTGGAAGCGCGCTGCTTACGCAGCTCATCATAGCTTTTGCAGAGCTCTCACCTCGGTGACCGTCTGGGGACTCTTCGCAGGTAGCATTTGGAATGCACCATCGTCGATTCCTTTCATGATGTTCTTGATCTTGCCTGCCTCGTCCAGAGTCGAATTGACGAGCTTGCAGAGAAAGAGCATATCTTCGATGTAGCTCGTGAAAATTTCATCTGTTCTCTGTACTATGCCAAGCAAGCGCTGTTCATGACGAAGGCGGCGGCCAGCAGGACGGCCAAAGACTTCCGAGAGGGTTTTTGCCAATTCCGACGAGGTACTGAAATCACTTTGATGATTCCTGTGCCATAGTTTCTCCACGTCGGTCAGGTAAAAAAACTCACATTTGTGAGCTTATCGGCTGCGTTCCACTTATTGTACGTGCTCACCAGTTCATACTCGGTAATCCAGTTGTCCACATCTTGATCCTATGTGCCACCAAATATGGGGGGATCGCGCTGCCCGAGAGCGCCAGAACAGAAGACAGGTACGTGTGCGAGATCTGGAGTGGCGGCCTGAGACGGCCCCTGCTGCGAAGTTCCAGGGTGAGGACCTGATGTATCCCAGCACGTCTTCCTCTTCTTTATATATATATATATATATATATATATATATATATATATATATATATATATATATATATATATATATATATATATATATATATATATATATATATATACATTCTATGATTTCGTTGAAGTTGTGCCCGCAATCGTCAGGGGATATATGTGCTTTAGTTTAAATTGAATTAAAGTTTCTCCGCGTAAATCATTTAAACCAAATCTACCTCAACGAGGCGTGGACTTACAAGGCAGAAACACCTGAACAAATGTGTCACTCATATCCTATATATGCAGCTTCATGATGTACATATTCATAAGACGCGAATGAAAATGTGAAATGAAAACGTACCCAGGAGAGGAATTCCATATGCCAGCACAATGAAGACTTTCAGTGAAGGGCACAGGTCTTTTTCTCCGAGCTCCATGAACCTCTTTCCGGATGTATACTGGTTTTGTCCTAGAGCGCAGACAGTTTCGTTGTAGTCCTGAATCTGAGATGTGCACCAGAGAGGAGTGGAAATATACCGAAGAGTAAATGGAAGGCGATCGGCACATCGTGCGAGTAAGAGAGCTGAAGTCCAAGTAGTGAGTTACCACAGACTTACCACAGAGCTATTCGCTTCGGTCCATTGCCTGAAGGAGTAGTCTTGACAGCTGCACTTCCAAGGATTACCCGAGAGCCAGATTGCCGCTACTGTCCTTTCGGAGACCATGCGAAGAGGAAACGTACGTAAGGAGTTGTTGCTTATGTCTATCCGTTTTGTTGAAATAGGAATGACCCCTGATTCAATCTCTGAAAGCAGGTTATTGGCAAGGTTCAATGAGGCGAGGGATGGAGTCTTGTAAACTAGTCCACTCTTCAGCTTTCTGAGGAGGTTCCAGCTCAGATCGAGAACGCGCGTTTTCGACGGGAGCTCTTCGGGAAGCTCCCTCAGCTCCCTGCGAGAACAGTTGACCAGAATGGCTGCAGAAAATGAAGAGTCTTGAAAGCAGGTGCACTCGCAACCTTGGCTGCAGTTGGTGAACCACACAGTGAGGTTCCCTACGGATAAGTTGAAAAGTTTCTCTCGACGGTTCCAACGAGGCCCGTGGCAAACTGGGTCACCCTTCGCAGCTAGTGAAGCGCCAATTCTCACGAGCCACGTAAGCTGACAGTCACAGAGAAGTGGGTTTCCTGCAAAATAAGTTGCACGATACTGTATTGTCACTTGAAGACAACAACGTAAGAAATGAGGCTGTTATGCTATTTAGCTTTTATCCTCAAAGCACAATAAACTTGGATATGTGGTGGGTATACAATTCACTATAGTGCGCGTTGCATTACAAATAAAAGAGAAGAGAAATATAAATTATATCACTATGACGTAGACTAGTCAGACATCGTCCAGTACACCTGTATCTGCATCATACGATAACGTTTATACTTGTCAGTTCTATGCAGTAAAAACAAACAGCAGCTGTAACAAGCAAGGACACGGTGTAAGAAAAAGAATTTAGGTGTGGACGCTCTCCGTTTGCCGCACAGAGAGCGCGTCCAGATGATGTTCGCCTTTAGTACATGCGCCGGCCGCAGTTTTGTGAGGACGGGGGGGGGGGGGGGGGGAAGGGGGGCACTGTGACATCCGAGGCTTAAGAAAGCTATACCACGAGAAGACAAACGCGCGTTTTTTTTTTTTCTCCTCATAGTGCTTTTTTTAAATCGTGCACGCTAGCAACTAGAGCTGGAAACTCATGCTGCGTTTCTCGAGATCGAAAAACGCCACGTGCGGCTAGTAACGCCGCTATTGGCTGCACAGTGCTAAAAAAAACCATACTTCTAACGCTGAGTTCGCCACCTGCGCAACGCCATTACGGACGCTACGCACGCCGCTCGTATTCGAAAGTAAATGCGCCGGCCGCAGTTGCATGGGAGGGGGGGGGGGAGGCGCTGCAGCAGCGCTGCCTCCCGCATAAAGATGGAAAAGCCAAGCCGGACGACCACGTCGTGATGCCACGTGCCAATATACGTTAAAGCATGAATGATAGTGTTTTAAAACCCGGCGGCTGCATTTTCGATGGAGGCGAAAATGCTATAGGCCTGTGTGCTCACATTTAGGTGCACGTTAAAGAACCCCAGGTGGTCGAAATTTCCAAAGCCCTCCACTACCGGGCGTCTCTCATATTCATATGGTGGTTTTGGGACGTTAAACCCACATATCAATCAATTAGTGTTATAAAACTCCTTATTGTGCAAATTTAACAGATAAATAAACCTTCGGAATAACCAAGACAGCACAATGATAACAAAATTGTTCAAAAGTACATAGTTTACATGTATATTTCATGGCTGCACTCAATGGTGTAGCCAGGGGGAGAGGGCTCAAATGCTCTCCCCCTGAATATTTTTAATCTTGTATGAGTGTATTCACGTAGGCATACAAACACACGCACAAACATGTTTACATAAAGAGTGGTTAAGCAAACGCACCCTTCCTTGGGAAAAAAATGTTCTGGCTACGTCCCTGGTTGCACGCATTGATCAATCCACACGAATAACTCAACACATTCGTGGTTCACAGAAAATATATTAAAAAATTTGAAACGACATGGTAGCACTGAGGTGATGTTAGCCGCCAATTATGGTTTAAGAAGCAATTTCATAGCAATATGCACACACACACACACATACACACACAAAATGCGTGAAAAGGTCAACGAGTACTAAATAGGAATAAAAAAAGGGCGGAAGCATCACGTCGAAACACAATCAATCGCTTACGAGGGGAAATTATTGTGGCGGTACTGTGCTACAAACATGCATAGTAATTGCACGTAGTGTCCGCTTATCAACAACATGGCAGTTGACGAGATGAGCCTCGCTTCGTGAACTGCTTCATTGGCGTTCCAGTGAAGGCGCAACTGGATACCAATATCATAAATGTGTGCGCCACAGCTGACATAATCTGCATCAAAATTAATACCATGATTATCGCTAAACAATGAAGCACTGAATAACGAGCAGCGATATTTAGCAAAACATAACAATACGAGCACTTGACAACTGAAGGTTTATAAATAACGGCAGTTATATTGAGACCAAAATTAGACGGCAACGTGTAAAAAAAGTTATACGAACAATAATGTCGAAAGCAAAGATGAGCTTCCCGGATACTTATTTGGGCAATGTGCGACGCAAGGTGGGGCCACGCAGGGCACAGTCAACAGAGGCACCCACGGACTTAAGGACACAGAGAACTGAAAGAAGTAAAAAACAAAAAAAACTCACCATCTAACGTCAGCCGCTTCAGTTTGTTGAGCACACGTGGGAAGCTGTCCCTGTGCAAGGATCTGAGTCGGTTTCCATCTAGCCTGAGTGTGTGCAATTCGTGGAGACCCTTGAAAGCTCCTCGCACACTGGTGATATTGTTCCTGTTCGCATAAATGAAAGAAAGTTGCCGGCTGCCGTCAAAATCCGCATCGACCAGCCTTCCCAGGTGGTTGTCATGAATGAAGAGATACTTCAAGTAGGGCAGGCCATGGAGCGACCCGTTGAGAGACACGAGTGATGTCCCGGTCATAAGGAGCACTCTGAGGCGAAAGAGACGATGAAAGCAGTCTTTTCCGAGCCACTCGAGCTTATTGCCGCTCAAATCCAGGTGTTCAATGTTTGAGTTACTTTTGAATGTATTGTCTAGAATGAATTGGATACGGTTGTTCCTTAATGTCAATATTTTCAGCGCCGGCATGTTGATAAATGCATCCCCGATGTCTTCAATGAGGTTCATCGACAAGTTTAGCTTTTCCATGCGACGCGTCACCTTGAAAGTGTCCCGTATGCTGCGGAGTTTATTCGAAGCAATGAAAAAATACTTGAGCTTCGACTCCTTGTGAAAATAGTTGCCGGGAATATATTCAATGGCGTTGAAAGAGAGATCAAGCATCTTCAACTCTGACAGTTGGCTAAATGTTTCATTCCGCAATTCGCTTATATTGCAGCTCCGAAGTTCAATGATTTCGATTGCGATGTTGTGAGGACCAACCCTGGAAAGCCAAGAGATGCCGTTATTGTTAGCACGGAGTATTTTGAGCTTGGGTGTGAATCCTGAGCATAACCGGTCAATACCGATGATGTTGTTGTTAGACAAGACGATTTCCTGAAAAAAAAAATGGTAAACAGAATAACAGACCCGGCTGTCTGCACATAATAATGTTTAACACAGAGCCGTTTGAAAACGCCACCGGTCGTTCCACGCGAATGAACCATGCATGATCCGTGCATTTATGAGGACCATGCGCTTCTGATCACGTTTATTCATACTAAATGCGGCACCAACGATGCAACAACAAGCAAAGCCCTATACCGACTTTTTAAACTCTATGAAAAGTGGCGGTCAAAGTGTAGCTCCCTCCTATATTACAACTAACAATGTAGTCTCACAGCTTCTAAAGCAGGCACATAATTTCATAATATAGCTTCAAGATATCAATCAAGTTTATCATCTTATTTCAACTTACTTCTTTTTTAAAATAAAACTATATATGTCCTGTAGGGCAGTCCGGTGTTCGATCACCAATGCAATGAAGTTAATCTCGCATACTATATGTTTTCCGTGTTTATTCAAAAATACTATGATCATATGAAAACCTGCATGTGAATTTAATGTCAGCTTATATGCGTCTATAAGGCGCACAGGTTTCTAAAGCAGTGAAGCATGATTTTCAACGGCGTCTTTTTTTTTTCTTGTGTGGCCGTCCTTATTTCTGGGTCACCAGATATACAAGTGACACTGTGTCAAAATCGGAATAGAATCGTTGAATGTACAGGCAGCGTTGAAGGTTTGGTGGCGCCACTGTACGTCTAGGAAAACCTTAATACTTTCAGCAATTTGTGGCTGTATGCGGTCTAACTACAAAGTACACGTTAGCATGCTTTATACGAGGCCCGGTATCTGAATTCAAGGTTGCCTTCCAAAACAGTGAAAATATTGAGCTTTTTCAAATATATCATGTTTTTTTATATTTTTACGCACACTGTACTAACATATGCGTCTAAATTTTCTTTGCTAACGCCTCTCCTCACTATCATCGATATCGATTAAATGTTGCCTTTGTCCACGCGACATTTCTGCGACGACGTCTCGCATTTGAGCGTAGCTTGAGAATGATATAGTGTTTGAACATAAGCCTTACGCAATAATAAAGTTGGGACATGTGTGATAAATGCATGCACGTAGACACTGCATGCGAATACACACTGCAGGGAAACAAAGTAAATATAACTGTACAGATCATATTAGGTTATGCAGAATTTCACTAGCATTTTGGCGAATATTTCATTTCACATTGATTCTAATTTGTGGTTTGGATACGCGCGATTAGCGTGCACAATTTGGACGCATCAATATTCGCGTACTGAACAGAAACGCTTCAATAAAAAATTAATTAAACCTCATCCCAACAAAGAGGCTAATTTTTACAACACCTGATATTGCTTAATAGGTGCCTGATTGCATCTTCGACACGGAAGCGTGAGCAGTATTATAATAATACGGCACATATGCAGAAGCATTATACGAAAGAAATGTGGATACAAGACAAGGTACTAAGGCTATCGTACGTACCATAAGATGTCCACGGCCTTGAAAAACGCTGTAGATGGTTTTCAGATAATTGTTGTGCAAGTCAACGAACATAATATTTTTCGTGTACTTGAAGAACGAATACGACATGTACTGTATTCGGTTGTTGCCCAGCCACACTTTCTTCAGGCCTCCAAGTCCTTCCAGGTCGTTAGTCCTGAGGCTCTCAATGCAATTACGCGACAGGTCCAACTCAGTCAGGTTCTCGAGCGGTGGGAAGTTTTCGATGGCTGTTATGCAGTTGCCTCGCAGCAGCAGAACCTTTAGGGCTGGCAGCGCTTCGAGACCTCGCGGAACAGCACTCAGCTTGTTGCGTCCCATGTGCAGAGTGGATAAAATCTTGGCTCCCTCGAAGCTGTCGTTCCGCGTGAACTGCAGGGGAGAGTTGGTCACAGACAGGGACTTGATTGTGAGGTTCTCAAAGTACCGCGAGGGAATAACTGTGAGGTTCACGCGGTCCAGGATGAGCGAGTCCAGTGAGAGGCCTCTGAGCGTGGAGATGTCCGCACTCAAGACGTCTCCATTCACGGTGGCGTTGCACAGCACCCGGAGACCCCTGCGCACCTTCTTGCAGGCGCAGCCGTCCAGATGCGGGCAGCTCGACTCAGCCACTCGCGTGCACAGGCGCCGCCCGAGAGCCGCGATGAGCACGACACAGGCCAGCTGCGCCGCGGCCCTCATCCCTGCGCATAAATTTACGCCGAAACGGTAAATCAACAAAGCTCCATCATCCTGTGGACGCTATATAATAATAATTGTTGGAATTTTAGGTTCCAAAACCGCGATATGATAATGAGATAACGCAATATTATCTGGGGTTTCACGTCCTGAAACCACGATATGATTTATGTGAGATGCCGTAGTGGAGGGCTCAGGAAATTTCCACCATCTGGTGTTCGTTAACGTGCAGTGACACGGCGCAGTACACGGTCCTTTACCAATTCGCCTCCACCGAATTGCGACCACCACGGCCTGCATTGAACCCGTGACCTCCGGGTCGGCAGTCGAGCACCTTAGCCACTGATCCACCGTGGTGGACGATATGATAATTACAGACGCCATAGCGGAGGGCTCCGGAAATATCAGGGTTCTTTAAAGTGCGCCTAAATCTAAGCGAACGGGCCTTAAGCACTTGGACATCATTGAAATGCCATTGCCGCGGCCAAGATTCAATCCCGCGACCATCGGGTCAGCAGTCGAGTGCATTAACAACCACTGTACCCCCACGGCGGTTAATCGAAAACATAACGTATACCCCTGAAACAGTTAAAAGACGTGACCCAATGACTATACTTGTTGTTAGAGGCCGCATTTGAGACTCGCAAGCTCGCTTTGTATTAGGGGCATCATTGTCTGTGAAACAAAATCTAACAGTCTCGCAGAGCCAAGGAACAGCTTAGGCTCTCCCATTGAAGGAAAATAACATGGAATAGACATATCTCAGTCGCGAAATCTTGTGTCAGTACCCATTGAAAAATATGTGGGATTTAATGTCTCAAACCCACCATATGATTATGAGAGACACCGTAGTGGAGGGCTCCAGAATTTCGACCACCTGCACTGCAAAAATTTTACACCTTAAATGGTGTAAAACAGATGTACGCATTGAAATCACCGATATGAACACCGTTTTTACACTCCAGTTTTTTAAATTTTGAGGTGTTCGTGAATAAGACACCCTCAAAACACCCCATTTACACCCTCATATTTGGGGTGTTATGAACAAGGCTACAAATGATTGATTGATATGCGGGGTTTAACGTCCCAAAACCACCATATGTATATGAGAGACGCCGTAGTAGAGGGATTCGGAAATTTCGACCACCTGGGGTTCTTTAACGTGCACCCGAATCTGAGCAAACGGGCCAACAAGGCTGCAAAGGCACACAATTTTCGGGCAGTTTTCCTTATATTCTTTGCAACATTAACCATCTTGATACCAGCAAGGCTCCTACTACTAGCTGCTTGCAGGACTAGTAATGAATCGAAGCAGGAAATAAAGTGACCGAAACGCAGTTTTTATCGATAAAGCACGCAAACTACTATAAGATGGAATATGCAACAGGAGCGCTGCTTGTCCAATAGAAAGAACCAATTCTCTTGTATCTGCTCCTTTCATCTGTGTCATTTGCGTGATTAGCAACACTCACAAAGTGCACTGATTTGCCTGAACAAGGCAATGTTGCGTACATTGGTGTATTCATGCATGAAACACTCCCCCCTCCCCCCATCCCCCATAAGATTGAAGCTTTTAAAGCTGAAGGTAAAACGTCCGCCACCTGCAAAAAAAAAATAACTGCGCAATTGTTTAGCCATAAGCACCACGTCTACAGGCCAACAGGTCCCTTAGAAACGAACATTGATGTGATGTATTTTTAGTTGGCACATTTTTTTATTACTGTAGCGAATGTTCTTTTTCATGTGTCCTTAAAGGGGTCGTGAAACGGTCGCCTTACAAGGACAATGCGGCACCATCGGCAGCCACATGCGGTAACTTTATCATCAGCCCGAGTGGACCTGCATAAAAGCTTTGCCTATCGAGGAACGGGGAACTCTATTATGGCATATCGAGCGCGCTCAAGAGGCGCTCATCGACGTCTGCCATACGCGACCCGCGTCCCACAAGGACGCTGCTTAATATGACGTCAGAGTTCAAGTTAACGCTGATTGCGTATGGCAAAGACGCTGACGAGTGCCCCAGTTGCACGCACGCAAGTACCGAAAAGTTCCGCGTTCATCGATAGCGGAATAATTACTTATGATGACGTCACCTAGTTAGTGCGTGTGGACGCCAGTGGCTTCGCATTGCCGCTTTAGAGCGAGCGTTTCACGACCCCTTTAAAAGTGCGTCATGTTAATTAGGAAGAGAACACCGACCATAAAGAAAATGCAGAATAAAGTCATTTCGGTGACCTTGACGCAGCCTTGCTCACAATGACGGGAGCCTTGTTGACTAAATTGCGAACAAAGCTCTCCACAAGGGAGCCGAAACACATTCTCCAGTTCTCTCTCTCCATCTCTCTGTTTTTTTTTTTTGTGTGTGGATCCCCTTCTTTTAATTTATGTTACTTCCCCAGCAGACGTGCTTCGGTCAAATCCTTGACTTTGTAGGTAGTGAAAAATCAACATTGATGAAATATTTTCAGCCACGGTATTGTTCCAAGGACTGCAAGATAAGTACAAATATATTGTCGCGACGTGACGACAGAAGTAGTATTAAACAAGTTGAGAAAGTAGCAGCAGGTCAGTATTTTTATTTACCACGCGCCAGAGCGTTCCTCTTCTTTCTCGTTATTGCTTGCTGCATAAAAGCGCGCGGATGCGCTTATGCGCTGTCGTCTTCGTCTTCCTAGCAGCACCTACGTGGCAATATGTTCTCATCGAATAGTGTGACGGCCGATGCATGCAATGTTGCGAGGAGCAATGTCTTTACCCAAATGAAAATGCCGATAAAATAGCCCCTGCGTGACCCTGCAAGCGCAGTCCCTAAAGGCCCATAGAGCTAAGCAGAAACCATCAGCTTAGCTTTTTTACCAGTATTCACTACATTAGGTCGGTGAAGGTGCGCTGAAAATATTTCTCCTGAATATTACAAGAGCGTGTTATGACTAGCAGCTCGTCCTGGCCGCAATGCACCGTCACAATGTTCACTGCGATTCAGATGCACTGTTAAAGAACGAGTATAACGCAACAGATCCCTGCCGAAAAAAAAAAGAAAAAAAAGGCAGCGCCTGCGCGATCATTAGAGGGCCAGAACTAGCGTTAAACCGCATCTAGCCGGTCCCAGAACGCCACAAGGCGCCATCAAGTCTCGTAGCCTAGACAACTTCGGCTGCCCGGGCGCATTGCGCGGGAAAGGGACCGGCGTCGTCTTACATGTCACTGCGTGCGCTGGCGAAAAACTCTCCCGTGTGTGTGCGTGTGGTGCGCGTGGCTTCTCGATCAGTAGAGCTTATTAGTCGGTGTTTAGTTCGAAATATGCCTGCGCTCTGTGCTCGACCTGTGTGTTTTGTTAGTGCTGATTATTGCGAAGGTGCACCATTCTGAAGGCTGGACCTGCGGATTCATATTGTGGAGCACTCGAAGTAAAATAGTGAGTACCGCTCTCACTTTGTTCCGTTCATCGCTTTGTTAACTGCGTGAACACGAGAGTAACGCTTTCAAACAATTTTGTTTTCAACATATATAGTTGATGACAAATCAGCATTTGTTTACGTAGCCAGAATATTTGTCCGAACTGTTTCACGGGGATGATGGAGAAATGTGATTGTCGGCAAGTTTTTTTTTTTTGGTTTGTTTAGATTGTTTGGAGTGCAAAGCAGAGTGAGCGTGCGCCGCTGAGGTTCAGCGAAGAATTTGAACAGATGTTTGCAATACCCTTTGTGGGCAGTCGTGTTTAACGGGGCCCGCTCGTGATCGACATCAACTTTAGTTTACTAATAAGACATGTGTGGGGACGGCGCCTGTTAGCTCTAAGCATCAACCGTATCGAAGACGCATATGCTTGGGTTTGTTGGAAGTTCATTTGCTGTCTTTTTTTTTCTTATTGCACAAAACGACCGAGAGCGGAAAGCAAGGGCATGGTGTCCATGTCGTTGTTTTCGGTACTTTTTCGTTTTGTGCGCTAATACTGCCGTGATAACTCGGGTTGATGCATCGGGTGACAACACAGCATATTGCTTCGCGTTAGGTGCGCCTCGCGAAGTTTGCCTACTTGGTTGGTTGGTTGGTTCCTCAACACCTTGGCGCAACCCACCTAGGGGGATAGGCCATGAATGGGACGGTGCCTTGCTTTTTAAATTAATTCACTTCTTGAAAGAAAGGGTTGGATTAATTAGGTAATATAGGATACTTGCTAATACCTTCAATTTCGTTACATTTGTCTTCACCTGTATTGTCGTTCACCCTCAAACGTAGCGTGACACTGCTGACAGCCGTGCCTGTGTAGCGGATCGAGCACTGAAGCTGGACTTTTGTTTGAACAGACCTTTCGTCTGTGTGTGTGGCCGAATTGCCTACTTGATCAGTGCAAACGCTTGTTTGAACATAACTGCTAACGTTCGAACACATTCTATTTTATACCGCTTGTTTCCATCATGTGTAACATTCATAATGATTGTTGTTATGGAGAGTTATACTGGCTTCGCCTCGCTTTGGCGTTTAACGTCGCGGAGTACTTTAGATGTTAAAGGTATTTTCGCTATGTGAAGCGTATTGTTAGTTTTTTTGTTGCACAAAAACACTTTATGTTATACATACTGCACGGTATCTAAGCATGTCTTGCAGCCAAAATGTAGGGCTGGGCAGAATATTTATCTGGGAACACAACACGCACAGCCACTGAACAGCCTACGCTGCATCGGGAAGGAGTTATGCTTTCTCACCCTGACAGCATGATTGAAACAAATGGCCCTAATTTAGCAGTATGCAATGGTCATTGAGTGATAGTAACAGGGTCGCTTTATTCCAAATTTTCCAGTCAATTGCGCGGCTATGGCAAATGTGTTTGAAGAAAAAAATTGTGCTGATTTAATGCACTGAAAACAGCGAACTGCTTGAATATTTCGGAGAGAAAAAAAGTTTTGGTCACGTGGTCGCCTTTTAAACTTCCCAGAATGTTGTTTGAGTGTTGTTTGTGGGAAAAAAATTATTTTACAAGTACCGCTCTTTTTTTTTTCATACT